ATTGTATGCAAAGCAGAAGCAATCTATCCAGATGCTTGTAATGACTTGTATATATTGTAAGATAATACTATACTGTCAAAAAGATAATAAGTATATTTTAACATTATTATTTTGAGAGGTATGTTATAATCACTTATATATCTTGACAATTTGTACAATCATAATTAATATCAGTAATTTTAATAACTATTCTGGATTCTCACTTTACTTGTACTAAATTATAATTAACTTGTGAAAACCACTATCTAAGTTATTATCACTTTTACAAAATTTACAAAAAGTAAAAAATGTACTAGGTTATAATCTAATACAACTGTTAAGACTTTTTCGTGATGTTTTTATCAGCATGAAGTCTACTCTACTGGCTGACGTATCTTCTATTGTCGATGCACAGTGTAGGGGTGGCAACCTCGCTATCCTGTTGCTCTCGTATTTTCCCAAGTTTGCAAGATCATTGAAAAGGACGATGCTGCGTGATAGCAGCTGCTTACCGTTGGTTGCACCCATTGCATTATTGAGTGATATGGAACGGGCATTGGACGGTCTTATACTCCGCTTCTTCGTTGACCCGGACTTGTCTTCTTCGTCAGCTACACCCTTGATTTGATGCTTCCTGCCCACCCAGACAGTGCAACCTTGCGAAGTCGTCCCTTCACTCTTCTTACAACTCTGACTGTGGCCTCGCTGCTTGCGAACCTTAGGCTTGAGTACAGGCGGGATGGCAACGTTAAGAAGTTCTAGGTTTTGTGTCAGCTCTATGCTGCACTCATATACAGTAGTCCAGCTAATCGTTGCAAGGAATTTGCAAACCTTTGTTAGAAAGGCCCAAGGCTCGTTGCTTTTGAATTTCGGGTCTATGTCCTGTTTATAGTGCTGAAGCCTCCCGCAACCAACACAGAAATCGTTGCCTGCTGCATTGTATTCTATGATCATACTACCACAGTCACCACACACTGTCTGTTCAATTTTATTTCAGCATTGTCATTCACAAGTAAAAGAAGCTTTGTGGGGAGCATACCATTTCCAGTTAATAAAGATCTTATAAAGATAGGCTGGGATATCTAAAGTAAGAGAACAGAGGGAGAACATCACCAAAATGTGCAGAATCTGACAAGGCAATATATTTACATGTAGACTTTATAAGCAAATATAAGGATCCACCATATGTCAAAATATATGTCTTAGCATTAAATCCCAATACATTTTCGTGTTCGTTTTGGTGATGAAGGAGATGTGATAAAGTCGGACTTGTGCAATGTGAACCAGAAATTGAAATGTATGCGTGGGAAACAACTGACACATTTTGATTCAGCTGCTGTTACCATGTCAAACTTTAACTTTAACCCGTCCCTTTCATTCTACTACACAAAAAGAACACTATTAACGTTTTTTGAGGATTAAAGTTGGCCCCTGATGGCCCACGAGTCAAGACTAACAAAGGCAAAAACAAGCTCGGGTGATAAACGCGAACGGTACGCTTTTTCTCTCACTTCTCACCATTCCGAAGTAACTTGCTTACGTTGACTAACAAGTCTTCAATCGATTTCGGCTGATCCGCTGCGAAAAAAAACTCAAAAGCCTCTCGCGGGAGTTCATAGATCGATATCGCTACCTGTGTACCATTAAAAACGCTCTGGGGTGGTGTTTTTGCGATATTTCTCGTCAACATCCATTATTTGCATCCTTTGGCCTCTCAGTGAAGCCCACTGAGACAATGAACGTTAAATCCGTCCATGTATTCGTAAGTCCACTTTCCATTCGCATCCTAGTTCGACACATTAATAAGGATTTAGGATGAGCGTGCTAGAGCTTTCCAAGTAATCCTCTGTGCGACTATTCAAGGGCGACCCCACCTCGTTCTTGTCTCTGACTGGTCCAAAGCCAGCGCTAGCCGATTGCGTATTTGACGAAAGTTCGGCATGGATCGTGGAAGTCTGCAAACCTGGTAACTTGCTGAGCTGTTGTGCAAGACCTTCCATCCCGTCGGATCTTAAACTCTGTTCCATGAGTCACCATGTGGTAGGCTTCAGTGAGTGCGTGACATCGCTTTGTTGGTGAGCACGTCAGCAATAGGATTAGCATATTATCGTACTGAATTCATTTTTATCAGTTCGAATGCTTATGAGTTTCCAAAAATTTCCCGCATTCATCGTGACTGTAGCTTGCCCCGGTAGTGAAGAGTTCCCTTGCGGCATTGAACAAAGCGAGTCCATCTGTGAGTAACGTTTCATTCCCCATCCCGGTAGTGTGTTTATTAAATATGAATAGGAGATGTGCACTCCAGGTGTCTTTGACCAATCTCCTCACCTTCCGCGGCAGTGTACGGATCTTCTCACCTGGAGAATTTCTGCGATGGCTGAGACTCTCTACTGTTGTCTCGCGCATAATCTTCTTGATCTTCGTTTCTGAAGGGCACTTCGACCAACCGGATTATGAGGAGGCTAGAGTGATCTCGAAAGATCGGCGAGCCAAAAGCCGATGCCGAATCGGGCATCGTTTTTATATAATTACAGGGAGAACGAAGCCATTGGCCGTACAGGAAGTGCGAAACAGAGAGAAAACAAAAGAGGAAACAAGAGATACAAATACAGAAACGAGTACAAGTACAGAGCAGGTGGAGGACAAGAACTACTGGCGGAAAGTCAAGGAAGGACTTGGTGGTGCAGTCGCGACAGCGGGAAGTAGAGACAAATGTGCCGAAAGTGATGAAGGGCTATCGCCGACGTTGTTGTACATACGCCCGGCAGTCGTTCAACTCGCCATT